TAGTTGAAGTGATGGTTTGCAGTTGAAGTGATGGTTTGTAGTTGAAGTGATGGTTTGCAGTTGAAGTGATGGTTTGTAGTTGAGGTGATGGTTGTAGTTGAGGTGATGGTTTGTAGTTGAGGTGATGGGTTGTAGTTGAAGTGATGGTTTGTAGTTGAAGTGATGGTTTGTAGTTGAGGTGGTGGTTTGCAGTTGAAGTGATGGTTTGTAGTTGAAGTGATGGTTTGCAGTTGAAGTGATGGTTTGTAGTTGAAGTGATGGTTTGTAGTTGAGGTGATGGTTTGTAGTTGAGGTGATGGTTTGTAGTTGAGGTGATGGTTTGCAGTTGAGGTGATGGTTTGTAGTTGAAGTGATGGGTTGTAGTTGAAGTGATGGGTTGTAGTTGAGGTGATGGTTTGTAGTTGAAGTGATGGGTTGTAGTTGAGGTGATGGTTTGTAGTTGAGGTGATGGTTTGTAGTTGAGGTGATGGGTTGTAGTTGAGGTGATGGTTTGTAGTTGAGGTGATGGTTTGTAGTTGAGGTGATGGGTTGTAGTTGAGGTGATGGGTTGTAGTTGAGGTGATGGGTTGTAGTTGAGGTGATGGTTTGTAGTTGAAGTGATGGGTTGTAGTTGAGGTGATGGGTTGTAGTTGAGGTGATGGTTTGTAGTTGAGGTGATGGTTTGTAGTTGAGGTGATGGTTTGTAGTTGAAGTGATGGTTTGTAGTTGAGGTGATGGTTTGTAGTTGAAGTGATGGTTGTAGTTGAGTGATGGTTGTAGTTGAGGTGATGGTTGTAGTTGAGGTGATGGTTTGTAGTTGAGGTGATGGTTTGTAGTTGAAGTGATGGGTTGTAGTTGAGGTGATGGGTTGTAGTTGAGGTGATGGTTTGTAGTTGAGGTGATGGTTTGTAGTTGAGGTGATGGTTTGTAGTTGAAGTGATGGTTTGTAGTTGAGGTGATGGTTTGTAGTTGAGGTGATGGGTTGTAGTTGAAGTGATGGGTTGTAGTTGAGGTGATGGGTTGTAGTTGAGGTGATGGTTTGTAGTTGAGGTGATGGTTTGTAGTTGAAGTGATGGGTTGTAGTTGAGGTGATGGGTTGTAGTTGAGGTGATGGTTTGTAGTTGAGGTGATGGTTTGTAGTTGAGGTGATGGTTTGTAGTTGAAGTGATGGTTTGTAGTTGAGGTGATGGTTTGTAGTTGAAGTGATGGGTTGTAGTTGAGGTGATGGGTTGTAGTTGAGGTGATGGTTTGTAGTTGAGGTGATGGTTTGTAGTTGAAGTGATGGGTTGTAGTTGAGGTGATGGGTTGTAGTTGAGGTGATGGTTTGTAGTTGAGGTGATGGTTTGTAGTTGAGGTGATGGTTTGTAGTTGAAGTGATGGTTTGTAGTTGAGGTGATGGTTTGTAGTTGAGGTGATGGTTGTAGTTGAGGTGATGGTTTGTAGTTGAGGTGATGGGTTGTAGTTGAGGTGATGGGTTGTAGTTGAGGTGATGGGTTGTAGTTGAGGTGATGGTTTGTAGTTGAGGTGATGGTTTGTAGTTGAGGTGATGGTTTGTAGTTGAAGTGATGGTTTGTAGTTGAGGTGATGGTTTGTAGTTGAAGTGATGGGTTGTAGTTGAGGTGATGGGTTGTAGTTGAGGTGATGGTTTGTAGTTGAGGTGATGGTTTGTAGTTGAAGTGATGGGTTGTAGTTGAGGTGATGGGTTGTAGTTGAGGTGATGGTTTGTAGTTGAGGTGATGGTTTGTAGTTGAGGTGATGGTTTGTAGTTGAAGTGATGGTTTGTAGTTGAGGTGATGGTTTGTAGTTGAGGTGATGGTTTGTAGTTGAAGTGATGGGTTGTAGTTGAGGTGATGGGTTGTAGTTGAGGTGATGGTTTGTAGTTGAGGTGATGGGTTGTAGTTGAGGTGATGGGTTGTAGTTGAGGTGATGGTTTGTAGTTGAGGTGATGGGTTGTAGTTGAGGTGATGGTTTGTAGTTGAGGTGATGGGTTGTAGTTGAGGTGATGGTTTGTAGTTGAGGTGATGGTTTGTAGTTGAGGTGATGGGTTGTAGTTGAGGTGATGGGTTGTAGTTGAGGTGATGGTTTGTAGTTGAGGTGATGGGTTGTAGTTGAGGTGATGGTTTGTAGTTGAAGTGATGGGTTGTAGTTGAGGTGATGGTTTGTAGTTGAAGTGATGGGTTGTAGTTGAGGTGATGGTTTGTAGTTGAGGTGATGGTTTGTAGTTGAGGTGATGGGTTGTAGTTGAGGTGATGGGTTGTAGTTGAGGTGATGGTTTATCGTTGAGGTGATGGTTTGTAGTTGAGGTGATGGGTTGTAGTTGAGATGATGGGATGGCGTTGAGGTGATGGTTTGTAGTAGAGGTGATGGGTTGTAGTTGAAGTGATGGGTTGTAGTTGAGATGATGGGATGGCGTTGAGGTGATGGTTTGTAGTTGAGGTGATGGGTTGTAGTTGAGGTGATGGTTTCTATTTGAGGTGATGGGATATAGTTGAGCTGATGGTTTGTAGTTGAGTTGATGGTTTGTAGTTGAAGTGATGGTTTGTAGTTGAGGTGATGGTTTGTAGTTGAAGTGATGGCTGTAGTTGAGGTGATGGTTTGTAGTTGAGGTGGTGGTTTGTAGTTGAAGTGATGGTTTGTAGTTGAGGTGATGGGTTGTAGTTGAAGTGATGGGTTGTAGTTGAAGTGATGGTTTGCAGTTGAAGTGATGGTTTGTAGTTGAAGTGATGGTTTGCAGTTGAAGTGATGGTTTGTAGTTGAAGTGATGGTTTGTAGTTGAGGTGATGGTTGTAGTTGAGGTGATGGTTTGTAGTTGAGGTGATGGGTTGTAGTTGAAGTGATGGTTTGTAGTTGAAGTGATGGTTTGTAGTTGAGGTGGTGGTTTGTAGTTGAAGTGGTGGTTTGTAGTTGAAGTGATTGGTTGTAGTTGAAGTGATGGTTTGTAGTTGAAGTGATGGTTTGCAGTTGAAGTGATGGTTTGTAGTTGAAGTGATGGTTTGCAGTTGAAGCGATGGTTTGTAGTTGAAGTGATGGTTTGTAGTTGAGGTGATGGTTTGTAGTTGAGGTGATGGTTTGTAGTTGAGGTGATGGTTTGCAGTTGAGGTGATGGTTTGTAGTTGAAGTGATGGTTTGTAGTTGAAGTGATGGGTTGTAGTTGAAGTGATGGGTTGTAGTTGAAGTGATGGTTTGCAGTTGAAGTGATGGTTTGTAGTTGAAGTGATGGTTTGCAGTTGAAGTGATGGTTTGTAGTTGAGGTGATGGGTTGTAGTTGCGTTGGCGTGACAACGTCGCACACATTCGCAAGCATGTATGGGCACCTCAAGCGCGTGACCGGCAAAAGCCAAAGACAATGTTTACTCAACATCCCTATATAGAATTTTAGTTTTACGTTTAACATTTTTACATTCTACACCAACAACACGATAGTGTACAGTGAAAACACTATACAGTAGTAGAATTTGTGAATAGTTAATGGAAGAATAGACCAGGTTTTCCTCAAACAATTAGATTACGATAAAAAAAATGTCCGATTCTGCACTCTCCTACCTCTCTCCTCACGTCTAACTTTACTCTCAACACAATCTCCTAACTCTCCCCTTTCATCTCACGTGATCACCCTCAATGCACTCTCCTACCTGTCCCCTCTCAACTCACTCTACTCCACACACTCTCCTGCGTCTCCCCCCTCCCATCTCTTTCCAAATTCGCACGTGTGACTGTGAACTGGTGGTATCGACAAGGCTGAGTGCACTGCACTGCATGTGCCATGCGGTGATCACATGGCATGTGCGCAGGATAAACCACCATCACGCGAACTCCGCTCATCCTCACAGGAACAGCGGCAGCTTTTGGATGGCCATCAAACAAATATGGTTGCTGCATTCACGCGGCGCTTTCAGATGCACTTCTGCAGCTGTCTGGAATTCTCTTCCTTCCGATGTTAGGAAGCCACTGGAGCTGTGCAATTTTAAATCATCTCGGTTGAAATCTCGTTCTTTAGAACTGCTTATTGTGTTTAGTTTGTTGTCCTTTACCCGCAACTCTGATTAGCAAGGTTGGCTACGTACGGTGCAAAAGAAATTCAACATACCAGGACTACTTACGAACATTCGACTTACAAACTATCATAGATACGAACAAACATGTCCGTATGTCCAGTTGCCTGTTCGGACTGAGAGTCGTAAGTTCAACCGCAGTGCAATAGATGGTGGCAGTGGCATCTACATCTGCAGAATGTGAAAAACTAGTGGCATCTACATCGGCAGAACATGAAGAACCGGTGGCATCTACATCTGCAGAACATGATGAACCAGTGGCATCTACATCTGCAGAACATGAAGAACCGGCGGCATCTACATCTGCAGAACATGATGAACCAGTGGCATCTACATCTGCAGAACATGAAGAACTGGTGGCATCTACATCTGTAAAACATGATGAACCAGTGGCATCTACATTTGCAGAACATGAAGAACCAGTGGCATCTACATCTGCAGAATATGAAAAACTAGTGGCATCTACATCGGCAGAACATGAAGAACCGGTGGCATCTACATCTGCAGAACATGATGAACCAGTGGCATCTACATCTGCAGAACACGAAGAACCGGCGGCATCTACATCTGCAGAACATGATGAACCAGTGGCATCTACATCTGCAGAACATGAAGAACTGGTGGCATCTACATCTGCAAAACATGATGAACCAGTGGCATCTACATTTGCAGAACATGAAGAACCAGTGGCATCTACATCTGCAGAACGTGAAGAACTAGTGGCATCAACATCTACAGGAGATTATACAACTTTTAAAGCCATTCCCCGTTGTTAGTGTACATGGCGTACAACGTGTTTGTACAGGAGTAAAGTTGGACTTGTGAACAAATCGGCTTACGAACAGACCTCGAGAACTAAACTCGTCCGTTAGTAGACGAGTCTCCGTACATATGTACGTACGGACGGGAGTCAGGCGCTCGAACATTACTCCGGCGAGCGAGTGTCTAGGGAACGCGTTCGGGCAGTACCTGCTTGTTCTTCTCCAGCAAGTCCTTGAGCAGGGCGTCCAGCTCGTTCTCGTCGATGTAGCCGCTCCCGTCCTGAAACGATGAACGCACAGAGCAATGCCTCGGCCGTGAAAACTTTCACACCTCGCCCCCCCCCCCCCCCCCAGCATCAAGGGGAGGGGTGGGGGGATTGGGGGGACACCGGAACCGACTTCCAGACTGCTCCGGCCAAACGTGTAGCCTAACCTTTGGGGGCTCTTGATTGGTCAGGGATTATATATTAATCATGTACATTCATTACACCACACTGAATCTTTGAATTGGTGACATAAAACCTCTGGATGAGGACGAGATCAATGCCATAAACTGGATCTCAAAGCTCACGAACAATGTAATGTAGCGGGCGGTGTTGTAGTGGCATAGGCACTGCGCTAAGAACCCAGAGCAACATAGGGTTTAACTCGTAATCAGAATCTTTATTCAGACTGCAGGAATCCGATGAGCTATGAAGCTCTTTTTTGCAGATGGCCAAACGGGAATGTCGTCCATCCCCCGTTACGCGATCTTTCCCACGCCATGTCCATCGCACGGGCCGTCCATAAATGACGTCACGCGATTTTGGACGATTTTTGACCCCCCCCCCCCCCCTTCGTCACACGGCGTCACAAAAAGTCAACCCCCCCCTCAAATATGACGTCACAAAGCTCTGCCCCCCCCCCCCCCAATTTTTGTTAAACATGCTTCAAATCGCTTTAAACTATTGTCATTGTAGTGCGTATTTAATGTGGCGCTGCACTCTGATGTTGTAGGAGAAAACATTTATTAAAAAGTCTATTTAATTAAGTAGAACGTGTCGTCTGTATTTATTTAAAGTTGCGCATTTTGATGTGACGTCATATTTCTCAAACCCCCCCCCCTCGTCACACATCGTCACAAATGTCTGACTCCCCCCCCCCCCCCCTATGTGCGTGACGTCATTTATGGACGGCCCCTTACTATCTGTCCGTTCTCTCCCAATCTTTCTCCCCTCGTTCTCTCGCCCTCTCCTGCCTCTGCTCCTTAGACCATGGCCACTTGGGGGGGGGGGGGGGGGTGTGACCCTGGCTCTTTGTGCCTCTGTGTTGCTGCTAGAAGTTTCTGTTTTTGTTAGGGGAAAAAACTTTTGCTCGCTGACTGGCTGGCAATCGACGATTATCCCATCGCTCCCGTGCGCCGCTTTTTCATCTCGCGATTTATGTTGCGCCAAGTGCCCATTACGCACTCAACGTGCAGCATCAAAGCGACGCACGCACGTTTGAGTCATCAAGGCATTCGCAGGACGCTCGCCCCTCAGAGATTAAAAAAACCCTTTCATGCGTGTGAACAAACAGAAGACACGTTGATCAACAACACTTCCACCCGAACGGATCTAATGCCGCTCGCAAACGTCAGCTCCCCACTTTGCCCTGCGTGCATGGACGTGCGCACACCGCGCTTCGCACGAGCAATGCTCTCTCAGCCTTGTCTAGACCACCAGCTCAATACGTGCGGCAGCAGCCGCATTGTCGCCGACACCGGCGGCTCAGGGAGTGCATGGGATGACGCGGTGGTCACATGACGCACACGCGAGGCATCGTGGGAATTGTGCCGTGTGACGGCAGCTTATGGGTTTTTTCAAAATCAGAATGTTTATTTATACTGGAGGAGGAATCCGATAAGCTATGAAGTTATTTTTCACAGATGCCCAATAGGGGCAGGTCAGAAGATTACAACAACAATGCAAAAACATGATAGGAGTGCAAAGTATTGGAAAGGTAAACAAATCGCTTAAAACAAATAGACAATTAAAACAATAACAACTTTTATCCTGTCGCAATGGTTTTTTTTTATCATCGGTAACACAGAGTTGGATTTCAACGAACACTTTCCCTTTAAAGGAAACGATTTACATTTAAAAAAAACAGGCGACAGACATCCATTGGGAGTCGTCCGCAGTTGCGAGTGGCAAAAGCTTGCCAAGCCAAGCTTGCGATGCCCATCCCGGAAATCCACGCATGCGCGATTGCCGCTCCTACTTCTCCGCAGCCTGTACGCGTGATTGTCCAGCTCTGTGCCGGGGAACGCCAAATTAGCCGGTACCAAAAAAAAAAAGCACGAAACGCCGCAGATTTCCTTCCGCCGTACCTTGTCGTAGTACGCGAATATCTCGTTGAATTCCTTGGCTGTCATTTTGACTCCCTGCAGCAGAAGGGGAAAGCGTTCCACGGTTAGGGGGGGCAGCAGTTGTCTCCGCTCACACTGCTGCGCACACACACGTGAGGGGTGTAGCCCCGAGAGGGAGGTCTGCAGGGCATCTTGGCACCGCTCTGCCAGGCTGGACGGACGTTCTTGGAAGAGGTGGGGGTACCCACATTTGGCGAGATGTTAACTACCTCGCCTGGTTATACAGGAGGTCGTGGGTTCGATCCCGACCCTGACGCCTGTTGTATATGTGGAGTTTTTCGTGTTTCTCTCCCTGTGGTAGCAAGGATTTTTTTCCTCGGGTCTACCGTTTTTTCCTCCACATTTAGAATCAACATGCGTTTAGACGATTTGACTGCTTATAAATATACACATGGTAAGCCACTTCGTTGAGCTATCATTTGTGATAGCCAGACAGCTTCAGAAAAAGAGCTATGTAGCTCTGTGGGGCCTTCCCTGGTAAAATAAAAATTAGCTTCGTTTTGTTCGTTTCATTTTTACCGCACCACATGCGACCTGCCGGTTGACGAACTGTGGTGACCCCATTTATGCTGCTGGGTGGACAGAGGCGGTAGGGCGATTTAAGAAACTTGCACCGTTATTTCAACTGCGACCTCAGGATTGCACGTTCGATTCCGGGAGATGGAATCGAACCAGGAGAAGGACTCGAACCGGCGACCTCACGATTGCAAGTCCGGCATGCCGCTGACCTTTACACCACACGGCAGTGCGCATGATTTACATCAGACCTATACGGAGGAGTGACGTTTGACAATACTATTATTGTGATTTGGATCAATATTCAGTTCAAGAATCAGTGTTTTTTCAGCCCTGTGTGTTGTCGTCTTGCTCTCTTGTCGAAGCACAAAGGTGCATTCGTATTGATGTGTGTATAGTTTTTGTCTCAAGTCGTCACATTATGCACGCGTCGTGAGCAGGACGCGTCTCCGAATATTCGCATTTCGCGAAAATCCTAAAATTGGGCCTATAAATATACAGCATGGATGTTTTAGACCACCGAGATTTCGCTTTGTATCCGATCGATCCCAAAACCGGAAGTGACATCACAACGGTATGCCGCCACTTCCGCGCTCTTCTCCACCACGAGGGTGATGTCACGTTGGCATGGGGCGACGTCACTGCTGCCAGCACGAAGACTTTTATAACATTGGAAATTGTCCCGAACAAATCCCTATCCTTTCCGTGTGTTTGTGTGTACGGAGCGGTGGCACAGCTATTAGCGTACTGCGCGACAAACCCGGTCGACCCGAGTTCGATTTCCGCTTACGACCAATAGTAGAGGTGATTATCTGAACCGGTCCTGGACCTCCCATAGGTCGACTCAGCTTTAAATGAGTCCCTGGTGCAGTGTGTGAACATCACCCTCTGGGGAGACAAAGACAGCCGGGCATGGTGTTGGTCACCCACCCCCTCGTGTGCCATGCCAGCCTTCATAGGTGCTACTCACCACCAGCACTTGCCCCAACGGTGTGTTGAGGCTAATACGGGGGTGGGGATCTTTGTGTGAATTGCGAGTGCACTCACCTGAAACTTCAACAGGAAGTTTTCCTGCACAGGAAGCAACCTGCGGTGGGCGGAAAACAACAACACAGGTGTACACAGCGTGGAGATGTCGATCCAATATGGGATAGGGTGAGATGACCCGATAGACGAGACAGGAGTGTGGGGGCGGGGGGGTGGACGGGGGGGGCTTAACGATCGGGGGGCCTCCCACTCACCTCGCCATTTCACCCAGACCCAACTTGCCGTCACGGTTGGTGTCGAATATTCTCAACTGCAACGAGCGACGCGGACACACAAACAAAAACACAACGTCAAAGCGGTGACGGATTCGGCATTTGGCTCGAGCTGAACGAGGCTCAACACTCGCGACGAAGCGGCTCAGCGGCACCGCACCCTGCCGATGAGACCGGAAGACGTCGACAACCCGTGCGGGGTTCGCTTCATTGAAAGCAACCCCGCGGGAAAACACTGGCTGCCTGGAATCCAACCCCAAGTTCTCGGCGGTGCTGACAGGGTATGCCGCCCTCTGAGCCAGCTCATGCCACCTTCGAGGGAGCCAAGTAAACGTATCGATGGGTGGAGCGGTGACGGCGGCGGTGAAACTCGCTGCACCGCGAACCCGGCGATCCGAGATGGATTCCCGGCCACGGATGACATCAGGGAAGAGTTGAGAGTGATCATCTGACCCGGAGCTGGCGATTCCATCGCTGGGTTCGCGGGCGTGGCGCGCTAACCGCTGCGCTGCCGCTCCCCGTAATGTGCACGTACACACACGGATGCTCGCTGGTGGGCACCGAGTGTGTGAGCCGGGTCGGGAGTAAGTGCAGAGAGAGTGAGAGTGGAAGGAGGGGTGCAGACGGAGGAGTTCGGAGGGTGTGGAGGGAGGAGTGTGGCGCTCACGATGGTGTGCGTGTACTCGTCCAGCTTCTCGTTGTCGTACTTCTTGCGGGCCTTGGTCAGCAGGTCACGCAGGAAGTTCTAAAAGCGCGGCGGCACACACAGGGGGCACACGCTGGAGACTAGATACTAGAGTGACACACACACACTCTAGACACTAGACACACACAGGGGGCACACGCTGGAGACTAGAGACTAGAGTGACACACACACACTCTAGACACTAGACACACACAGGGGGCACACGCTAGAGACTAGAAACTAGAGTGACACACACACACTCTAGACACTAGACACACACAGGGGACACACGCTAGAGACTAGAGACTAGAGTGACACACACACACTCTAGACACTAGGCACACACAGGGGACACACGCTAGAGACTAGAGTGACACACACACACTCTAGACACTAGACACACACAGGGGACACACGCTAGAAACTAGAGTGACACACACACTAGACACTAGACACACACAGGGGACACACGCTAGAGACTAGAAACTAGAGTGACACACACACTAGACACTAGACACACACAGGGGACACACGCTAGAGACTAGAGTGACACACACTCTAGACACTAGACACACACAGGGGACACACGCTAGAGACTAGAGACTAGAGAGACACACACACACTCTAGACACTAGACACACACAGGGGACACACGCTAGAGACTAGAGACTAGAGTGACACACACACACTCTAGACACTAGGCACACACAGGGGACACACGCTGGAGACTAGAAACTAGAGTGACACACACACACTCTAGACACTAGACACACACAGGGGACACACACTAGAGACTAGAGACTAGAGTGACACACACACACTCTAGACACTAGACACACACAGGGGACACACGCTAGAGACTAGAGACTAGAGTGACACACACACACTCTAGACACTAGACACACACAGGGAACACACGCTAGAGACTAGAGAGACACACACACACTCTAGACACTAGACACACACAGGGGACACACACTAGAGACTAGAGACTAGAGTGACACACACACACTATACACTAGACACACACAGGGAACACACGCTAGAGACTAGAGAGACACACACACACTCTAGACACTAGACACACACAGGGGACACACACTAGAGACTAGAGACTAGAGTGACACACACACACACTAGACACTAGACACACACAGGGAACACACGCTAGAGACTAGAGAGACACACACACACTCTAGACACTAGACACACACAGGGGACACACGCTGGAGACTAGAGACTAGAGTGACACACACACACTCTAGACACTAGACACACACAGGGGACACACGCTGGAGACTAGAGACTAGAGTGACACACACACACTCTAGACACTAAACACACACAGGGGACACACGCTGGAGACTAGAGACTAGAGTGACACACACACACTCTAGACACTAGACACACACAGGGGACACACGCTGGAGACTAGAGACTAGAGTGACACACACACACTAGACACTAGACACACACAGGGGACACACACTAGAGACTAGAGTGACACACACACACTCTAGACACTAGACACACACAGGGGACACACACTAGAGACTAGAGTGACACACACACACACTAGAGACTAGAGACTAGAGAGACACACACACACTCTAGACACTAGACACACACAGGGGACACACACTAGAGACTAGAGACTAGAGTGACACACACACACTAGACACTAGACACACACAGGGGACACACACTAGAGACTAGAGTGGCACACACACACTCTAGACACTAGACACACACAGGGGACACACACTAGAGACTAGAGTGACACACACACACTCTAGACACTAGACACACACAGGGGACACACACTAGAGACTAGAGAGACACACACACACTCTAGACACTAGACACACACAGGGGACACACACTAGAGACTAGAGTGACACACACACACTAGACACTAGACACACACAGGGGACACACACTAGAGACTAGAGTGACACACACACACTCTAGACACTAGACACACACAGGGGACACACACTAGAGACTAGAGTGACACACACACACACTAGAGACTAGAGACTAGAGAGACACACACACACTCTAGACACTAGACACACACAGGGGACACACACTAGAGACTAGAGACTAGAGTGACACACACACACTAGACACTAGACACACACAGGGGACACACACTAGAGACTAGAGTGGCACACACACACTCTAGACACTAGACACACACAGGGGACACACACTAGAGACTAGAGTGACACACACACACTCTAGACACTAGACACACACAGGGGACACACACTAGAGACTAGAGAGACACACACACACTCTAGACACTAGACACACACAGGGGACACACGCTGGAGACTAGAGACTAGAGTGACACACACACACTCTAGACACTAGACACACACAGGGGACACACACTAGAGACTAGAGACTAGAGTGACACACACACACTATACACTAGACACACACAGGGAACACACGCTAGAGACTAGAGAGACACACACACACTCTAGACACTAGACACACACAGGGGACACACGCTGGAGACTAGAGACTAGAGTGACACACACACACTCTAGACACTAGACACACACAGGGGACACACGCTAGAGACTAGAGACTAGAGTGACACACACACACTCTAGACACTAGACACACACAGGGGACACACACTAGAGACTAGAGACTAGAGTGACACACACACACTATACACTAGACACACACAGGGAACACACGCTAGAGACTAGAGAGACACACACACACTCTAGACACTAGACACACACAGGGGACACACGCTGGAGACTAGAGACTAGAGTGACACACACACACTCTAGACACTAGACACACACAGGGGACACACGCTAGAGACTAGAGACTAGAGTGACACACACACACTCTAGACACTAGACACACACAGGGGACACACACTAGAGACTAGAGACTAGAGTGACACACACACACTATACACTAGAAACACACAGGGAACACACGCTAGAGACTAGAGAGACACACACACACTCTAGACACTAGACACACACAGGGGACACACGCTGGAGACTAGAGACTAGAGTGACACACACACACTCTAGACACTAGACACACACAGGGGACACACGCTAGAGACTAGAGACTAGAGTGACACACACACACTCTAGACACTAGACACACACAGGGGACACACACTAGAGACTAGAGACTAGAGTGACACACACTCTAGACACTCGAGTAGTGAAGGCTATGTTAGTGACTGAAGAAAACTTACCACAAAGACAAAGATTCCCCGTGTAGCTTACCCAGGCTGTTGGGGCAAGTGCTGTTAGCGAGCGCCTATGAAGGCCCACACGGCACACAAGGGGGTGGATGGCCAACACCACGCCCGGCTGCTTTTGTCTCCCGAGTGGCGATGTTTACACACCGCACCAGGTACTCATTTGAAACCGAGTCGACCCAGGGGAGGTCCAGGGCCAGATGGCAACGCATTATGGTGTGATCGTGAAGATGGTGGTGGTGATGCTGGTGGTGATGGTGTGGTGGCGGTGGTGATGTTGACGGTGGTGGTGATGCTGGTGGTGATGGTGGTGGCGTTGGTGGTGATGTTGGTGATGATGGTGGTGGTGATGCTGTTCATGATGGAGTTGGTGGTGGCGAATGGCGGTTGTTGATGATGGTGGTGGTAGTGATGCTGGTGTTGATGGCGGTGGTGATGATGGCTGATGGTGTTTGCGGTGGTGGAGGTGATGCTGGTAGTGATGATGATGGTGTTGACGGTGGTGGTGGTGGTGGTGATACAGCATCAGGAGGAGTAGTGTGGGAGGGTGGGCGTCGTTTTTCCCGAGGCATTCTGCGGACTTCACCACAAGCCACGGCGCTCTGCCGCACAAACCGACGGATCGACCGCGCGCCACTCATTGCTCGATCTCGTATCCGAGCGCCTCCGCATACGCCTCGGCGCACCTTCAGCTCGTTGGCCTCGATGTAGCCGCTGCGGTCCGTGTCGTATCGCCTCCACGTCTGCAACGAAAAAAGGGGGGGGGGGCGGGGGGCAGAGGTGTTAGCAAGGTCAACAGCAAAGGTCAAGGTGGATGTCAAGAGGTCCATCAACGCCGGCACGGCCGCCCGGAGACCAAGGGGCTCGAGAACCGGGCCGGAAGGCCACGTGCGGCGATGGAAAAGGAAAAACAAATACTTGGCTCCTGATTGGTGGAACCTCTTTGTGTGTTAGGCACGGGGCACGTGCCCCCGCCCCCCGCACCCCCTGCTCCTCTCTGGGCAGCTGTGAAGGCCACAATCCCCTAACTATCAAACCTGGCAGGACCCTCCCAAAACAAACGAGGCTATCCTGGGTAATCAATCAAGGGTTTGTGGTATAATCGCAGATGTGTATGTAGATAGGGGTGTTGTATGTACGGGGGAGTGGAGGTGTAGCGGTTAGCGTGTTGCGCTACGAACCCGGCGGAACCCTGTTCGATTCCCGCTCACGGCCAACACCTAGTGGCGATCATTCATAATGAAGGTTTTTGGGTTTCGCTGGTAATTTACTCTCCAACACACCGTTGGGCTGAAGTGGTAACTATTTGGCGTTTTGTTTACGTGACAAATCCCTTACTAATTGGCTGTGTCGGGTGGTGGAGGGTTTTGACACATTTATATTTACGCGATCTAACCCAAAAACCTTCATTATGAATAATATTGGTCGTGAAAGCCTTCGTGTTAAACTGAGTGACGATCATCTTAACAGACCCTGGGATTCTTCCCCTAGGTTGACTTAGCATCAAATGAGTACCTTGTGTGGTGTGTAAACATCACAAATAAGGAGATAAAGGCAGTCGGGCGTGGTGCTGGCCACTCACCCCCTCGTATACCGTTCCAACCTTCATAGGTGCTACTCGCTAACAGCACTTGCCCCAACAGTTTGTTAACAGCTATACGGGGGATTTTTGCCTTTGTATGTACAAGGTAGCCAGTAAGCATGTTGCATCACGAAGCCATGCGGGCCTAGTTCGAGTCCGGGCGCTGGCTAACATCAGTGGCGAGTCACATAGACATCTGTGAACTACTGGACATGTGTGAAAAAGGGCGTTATAGCTCATCGTATTCCTCCAGTATAAATACGTACAGGGACTCCTCTGTTCGTAAGTTTATTTGTTCGTAAGTCCAACTTTACTCCTGTCGATTCTAAACACGGTGTACACTAAACATGGTAAATAGCTTTAAAAGTTGTACAATCTCCTGTAGATGTAGATGCCACTGGTTCTTCGTGTTCTGCAGATGTAGATGCCACCACCGCCATCTATTGCGCGGTGGTTGAACTTATGATATCGGTTCCAACAGACTCGACATATGGACAGGTTTGTTCGTATCTCTGGATGGCCGTAAGTCGACCGTTCGTAAGTCGAGGAGTCCTGTATTCCGATTCTGATATCCTCATCGGTTCTCCCACCACAGCACCATCGCCAAGCGGCATTGGACTGCCAAGCGGAAGTATGGTCAAGACAACCTCATAACCAACGGCGCCAGTGAGAGGTCTCCTCCACCCGTTGGTGGATTACGAGCGGTTGGAATGAATTTGCGTTTTCTGTTAAATGAGACACCCGCTCGCCCCCATCCCCCCCCCCCCCAATCAGCCTAGAGCCGTTAAATGATTCATTGGTAAAAAAAAAATTCGAAGCATTCATTAATTTGTGATTCACTCCATTAAACTGTGGGAGGGGTGGGGGGAGAGGAAGCATATGCACGCTTCCCTATTAGCGAACAAAGAAAACGTCGAGTTGATCGTGCGAAATGCGCGCTGACGTTTCGAGAAAAAAACCATGAAAGCGTAATGATAACCCGAAATGTTTATGAATCTCCGAGAGGCTTTGCCATTTGGACCATGAATAAAACAAGCTTGCAGGACGTGCCTCCGTGCCCAAAGTGTCCCTCGAGCTCAAGCGAGTCACGCCAATGCGCTCGTTTCCATCGGTGGCCTAGAATCAGCGGTGGAAAGTCCACGTTATCATGGATGCGAACCAATTGACAAAGCTGCTTTTCATATTATTGACTCAAGAAGAATGATAGTTCTGAGTCAACCGTTGACTGGGATTTGAACGTGTGCCCTTCTGATTGAGAGCCAATCAGCGATTTTTTTAAAATGTATTTTGGATTTAGTTATTTATTTAAAGGACACTTTTGGATTTTCCATCCCAGTCTGATCTGGATGAACAATGTTCCCCTTTTGTGATCTGGATGAATAATTTAACGGGCAATTGATCGCTAACCCAACCGCAGAGCCGCCCGGTGTCAGTTTCCCCTGCGGATGGTGGTCCAGCGCTGAATCGCGATCGCCTGGCGAGTGACAGGCGCGGCGATCGCGAAGCGCCGCTGCCGGCGATGATAGAGATCTGAGACGGTTGGCGCTGCGGGCACCAAGCTCAACCCATGGACCACGCAGCAACGCTACTGCCCGGTTCAATCATTCGCCGGCAGCTTTTCAGATATTCGCCGTGAGGCTACTCCTGAAGCCGTGCCGATTTGAGTCAATGGGTGTCTATATAGGTCTGTGGGTCTCTATGGAGGAGGCTCGTGAAGGACGCTGCTCGTCAGTTGGAAGCAGTCGCCCTCCAACAACAACGGAGGGCAGAGGAGCCAAGCTCACAACAATGAGCGGAGCGCCGGGCGGGTCAACGCAGCAAGTTCACACAGTAGGGGGCACAGATGGTGCATCTGCCGATCATCTCAGTCAGCAAACCCATGGTACCTGAGTCTGTCCCGTGACCTGCTGTTAGTGAGCCTTTGACACATCAAGTGGCCTTAAAAAGTGAACCCTGGCCTGGTAACAGGCACCATGGTGACGTCACTGCCACTTAGTGGTGCATTGCGGGTGTTGTTGTTATGGGTCTCTATGCAAGTCTAGGAATCTCTATGTGAGTCAATATCTCAATCCATGGACCGACACAGTAACGCCACTGTCCTCTTCAATCATTCAGTCTATGGGTGTTATCTAGTCCTGTGGGTCTCTATGCAAGTCGAGGCATCTCTACGTCAATAAATATCTCAATCCATGGACACACACAGTAATGCCACTTGCTACTTCAACCATTCGCCGGCAGGGTTTCGGAAATTAACTGCGAGGCTGCTCCTGAAGTTGTCCACTGGCCCACTCGTCAAGAGCGACATGAACACCAACACGCATCGCCGTTCAACTCCCCGCTTACAGATGAAGTAGAAGATTAATCTCATCGGATCCGGATCGATATTTTTTGCTTGCACCACCACGCTGTGATAATGATAAATACGATGATCATGATGATTTGATGACGATCATGATTATGATCATGATGTGTATATATGAACTTCTTTCGCACAGTATATAGCGAACTGTGCTAATCGGTGGGGCGAGATGACGCTCATGATGATGACTGTGATGATGATGATGATCGTGATAATGATCATGATGATGATTGTGATTATGATGCGGTTATCATGATGATCATGATGATGATGATGGCGATGATTGTGATAATGATTATCATGATGATGATGATTGCGGTGGTGGTGATGGCGATGATCCCAACTCATAGTGGACCAACTCACCTCCATGAACTCGGCGCTGGACTTGACGTGTTGCCGGAAGAAGAGAAGGAAATTCTCTTCGGTCGGGAGAATTTGCGCCAACTGCGGATTTAAACAAAAACACAAAAATATAGAAATCGAATAAATCACACGGCTTCAAAACTACAATACCTCGACAAAAGTGATGGGAATGACCACGCTCTCTTGTCAACATCCTCCAACATACTCCTTTTTCTTCCTCGTGATCGAAAACAACGACTTTGTTCATCTCTCTGTTCTCTTTTGACGTTTAACTTTTAAGTTTATAATCTCGATTTACATTCCAGTGGCGCTACCGCACCGGATGGGAACGAGTGGCTCACGGCGATCGGAAAGGTCGCGAGTTCAAATCCTCGCTGGGGGATGACTCGGCCCATCATCCATCCCTCCAACGGGGGTCGATAAAACGAGTACCGTACAAACGGCAGCTTGCATAGCCAACGTGATTCTCCGTGTTGGTTTTTGGGCGATGTCCGATGCAAAGATTCTTGTCGTTAGGCCCTCCGCCACCTGTTAGGATGGTGACCTCGAGGCAGATAACATCAATCCCGCCACATGTCATGGTGCGCCAATCGCATTCTCCTCGAAGTGCACGAGGTTCGAACTCTTCCACAAAAAACTTGAACGACCCCCAACCAACCGCTTGAGGACAAGGCCAGAGGAAGAAGATGCGACCATTTGTTGCGTGAGTGGAACACGCGGGGAGCGGAACAGATTGTCACCGTGGCCACCACCCAAGTCAGACGATGGATCGCTCCACATACCACCGAACTCCTGTCCCTGAGAGATCCAGTCCCGGTGGCATCGCGACCGCTCGCTCTGCCTCGCCTGAAGCCGTTGAATGGATTGCTAACCTCGACAACAAACTATGATTAACATCACACTGTAACCTTATTAGAAAGCCACTAGAGCTACGCACTTTTAAATCTAGGTTGAAAACTCATTTTTGTAAATATGTTTTTTGTGTTTCGTTTGTTGTACTTCCGCCCGCACCTCTGATTAGCACGTTTGGCTATGTACGGTGCGAAAGAAGTTCAACAAACATACGCACGTACATCACTGCTTCCCCAGCCGTACGAAGATAAAATTCTGACCATTCAAGCGCCACCCCTCCTCATCGGCGGCGCGAGACCTTTCACGGCTGAATTGAACGTGAACGTGCGACGACGTTCCGCTCCAACTGCTTCAAGTCTCATCGAGGTTGGCGAACACCGGAAATTCGGATCGCTCCCTAAAGAAGCTCAAGGCGTTGGCATGTGTACATAACAATGGTCGTAAAAATACCTGCGTAAATAATGTCGTCGGGTGGTGGAGGGGTTAAAGACAATAAACTAGTCAAACTATTTTTTATTTTACCAGGTAAGGCTCACTGAGCTATTTCAGAAGCGACCTGGCTATCACAAATGATAGCTCAACCAAGTGGCTTATCACGTGGACATTCGCAGCAGCCAAATACTGTAACATTCAAAATAATCTAGACGCACGTTTGTTAATGTGGAGGGAAAAACCGGAGGACCCGGAGAAAAATCCACACGACCACGGGGAGAGAGAGAGACACGCAAACTCCAAATATACAGCAGCAGCAGGCGTCAGGGTCGGGGTGGAACCCACAACCTCCTGTATACCAGGCGAGGTAGTTAACATCTCCTAGCCACTGTCACGTTGGCATCAAACGACAATCACTGGCACGAGGCTCGGCCCAAAAACATGCACGTGGGTCACAACAAGTCAACAGTGCTTAGATGGACTCATCCCCGCCGTAGGAATGTGTAATTTCCCCCCACTGGCTCTGCAGGGGCTGTAAACGTGAGATGAGCACCAGTGAAATGCCTCGACGCTCATTTGAGCGGCAGGAAATGGCTCTTGACGTTTGATCCGATAAGGGGCGCTCGCTCGCTCGCTCGCTCGCTCTCCGAGCCACCTGGCATCTCCACATTTTACTGCATTTACCGCCGTCACAGTGGAAAATATCGACGGGAAATTCACATTAAGTGGCCGGGATTAAATCAGCATCATCATCTTTCCATTTGGAGAGAAGTCAATGGAGGTTGTTGCCTTGTGGGTGAATAGACCTGGCTCTGTTGTGCACGCGTACAGCCAGCACTGATGGATGAAGGCCCCCCGACGCCGTGTGGATCGTGGGGGTTATTTGACCATACTTTACCACGCTGGTCAGTGTGCGTTTGGGCAAGCCGAGGAGCATAGGCGTGGTGCATAGAAGCGCAGTACAACAATGAATTGTCTGCACTGCCCTCTGCTGCCCACCACGTAGCCCCCACAGCAGCCTGGAGCAACTGGTTCTGCATGGCAGTCGCCCATCCAAGCACTATCCGGGCTCAACTGTGCTTAGCTCTGCCATAGGAATGTCGAGTTTCCATCACGAGTTCAAGACTGCCAAAGAGAGTGAGCCACTACGCGAAGGCCAACCGAGCGTGGGAGAGATTGGACCTGCATGCTTGAGCAATGAGCGACAGCCTACGCTGTTGTTTCTGTCTGTGTCTACGACAGATCAACGGGTAATTGATACAATAATGAACGCCCCATTCCCATATTTGTCTCTGCACATGAAAAGTCAGAGTATTTGTTTTACACAACCCATCAGCTAAACGACCTTCTGGGAGTGCAGCATTGGTTCAATGCAAGCAAACTCTGGACTGGTTTCAACTTTCAGTGTCTCATCCGTAGTCAGCCGTGATCGAAACCAACGCTGGCAAGAAGCCTTTCTGTCAGAAATAGGTTCTAGTTTTAACTAAAACACTGGACCCATTTCGGCAATCATTGTTTCATCATCCATAGGGGGTGTGTGCGGGGCCCGGTCCAAATCCCACTCTGTGGTGCCCCCCAAAGTGCGGGGCTCGGGGCGGTCGCCCCCTATTCGCCGTGCCCTTAGCGAACAGTTCTGCCCATTAGCAGTGTAGCGGGGTTGCTTGAACCGATGCTGGTGAAACTGCCCCATGTTGATAGGCGAGGACCCTCTCTGCAATAAACGGGTCCTGGCTCGACACAGAAACTTCACGCGGCAATAGGCAACCCGGAATCGCAATCGTTCCGTTGTCGCGAAGGATGTTCGTGGCAAAATAGATTCAAGCTCACCTCTGCCATCTCTATTTTTCCGTCCGCGTTCTTGTCGTACTTTTCCATGAACGATTTCATCTTCTCTTTTACCACACTCTCGGGCAGTTCCTGCGCTCGTTTATAACGGCACGAAGAGAGGGGTGGCGGGGGGAGAGGCGTGGGGGGGATGGGGGGACAAAAACACGTCTGTCATTGGCATCGCCCCGGGACGGCACTTGGGCCCAGCATCTATTTATCTATTAAAAACTAAACCCAATTTTTTTTATTGTACCATGTAGAGACCCACTGAGTGATATCGCTATTGTTTTTAAAGCGACCTGGCTATCGCAAATGATCGCTCAACGAAGTGGCTTATCATCGTGTCGAAATTTAGAGCGGCCAAATATTCTAAATGCATGTTTTATAACGGTGGAGGGAAAAACTAAAAGAAAAATCCACGCGACCACGGGGGAAAACACGCAAACTCCAAATATACAGCAGGCATCGTCAGGGTCGGGATCGAACCCACAACCTCCTGTATACCAGGCGAGGGAGTTAACATCTTGCCACTTAGACAAGGCCCCAATCGCACCGGAGATGAATCGATGGCCCGGCGATGTTTCACCGGATCCAGCGTGCCTGCCATAGCGAACAGTTAACGGCAAGTCCCGTGATGCATGTCGGGGTGAAGGCGAGTTGGGGTCGCTGCTCACCACCCCCACGCCGCGCCGCGCCTGCTCCAGGTCTCGGAAGAAGTTCTCGAGCTCCTTGCCCTCGATGAAGCCGTTCTCTGCAGCACGAAGGGGAAGCAACAGGGGGGGGGGGGTCTCGAGTTGAACACAAGCAGATCGATTGTTGGAATCCCATCGAGGCGATAATTCGTTTCCACGGTCACCGTTTACTGTCGGGGTGGGGGGGGGCGAGGGATACGTTCCTGAAAGGTGGGACGACGTATATTGAAACGACGTTAAATAATTATCCAAGCAATTTACAGGGCGGTAGGCGGCGGTGGAGGCGAGGGATAACGACAAAGGGACGGACGACGATGCTGTCAGCGACGTGAGAGTGTGGGGGCTTGAGGCGACGCGAATCGACGGCCACGCTCTTCCCCACCAACGAGCGGCTTCCACCCGCACACCTCCACGTCGCTGGTTTAACACCACCTAGTAGTAGTAGTTGTTGTAGTAGTTGTAGTAGTAAAGTGGTTTTCGCGACCAATATCATCCACAATACAGGTTTTATTTTTAGTTTAGATCGCGTAAATATTTAACTGTGTCGTTAAACCCACCACCACCCGACACAGCCAACTGGTAAGGGTTGTCACGTAAACAGAATGTGCCAATTCGTTACTGGTACAGCACTAGTGTGTAGTGTATAGTGTAGTGTATAGCAGTGTAGTGTATAGTGGAGTGTATAGTGTAGTGTACTATAGTGTAGTGTATAGTGTAGTGTACTAGTACAGCACTAACCGGTGTGTTGGAGAGCCAAGACACAACATTTACAATCTGAGTACGACGTTTCGTCTGTGATTACAACAAGCTTCATCAGGTGACAGACAGATTTATTCTCTTGCGTGGAGCCTCGAGCAGCATCACGGACCGACTGGCTCGATATTTCAATGTGGAGAGACGAATGTTGATGGGGGGGAGGAGGAGGAGGCATTGGTTATTGTCATTAACATTCTCCAGGCGACCCCCCCCCCCGCCCCCCCACGTGATTATTTTGTGCCGCGTGTTGCTGCGTTTAGTGCGAGCGTCCAGCGAGGATCCCGGTCCTTGCAGAGAGGGCCCCTTTGCCGATAAACAGTCGGCAATTCGCTCACGTTGATTCAGGCGAGCCTGACTTTGCTGATGAGGCACTGCATGTCGAAACCAGCCCTTGCCTACAAACTTCGGGCAGTTCGTCCGTGTTGGTTCAAGGGAACATGGCTCTGCTGATGAGGGACTCAATGTCGAAACCAGCCCTTGTCCACAAACATCGGGAAGTTCACCCGCGTTGGTTCAAGCGAGTCTGGCTGCTGATGAGACACTGCACGTCAAAACCAGCCCAGAGTTTTGCTTGTATTGAACCAATGTTGCTGATAGGATGCACTCCCAGAATTCCGTGTGGGTGGCTGATGGGATGTAAATACATACGGTTTGTATATATATATATATTTTTACGTGTTGAGACAAATATATGAAAGAGGCACAGTGTCTGCGCACCAACTCTGCCAAGAATGCCACCTGGGCCAATCATTCCTGGGTGGGGACTAAAGGCGATGGTGATGAGATAATACGAGAAGAGATGCGGACAAGATGAGATCGATTATTGAGATGATTTTATGATGTAAATTATCACGTGGAATGTTTATGTGGATTTGAATTCGAGCTATTCAGAATCATTCGTTCGTTCGTTTCACGGTCCGCTTGTCCTGGTGAGGGTCGCGGCGGCAGCATCTTGAGAATCACAATCAGAATCTTTATTTATGCTGGAGGAATCCGATGAGCTATAAAGCAGTTATTCACAGATGTCCAGTAGAGGCGGGTCAGAAAGTTACAACAACAAACAATACAAAAACACGATAGGAGTGCAAAGTATTGAAAATGAAAACAAATCCCTTTAAAATATTTTTTGAAATAAAACCAAACATTTTTTCTTTTTATCTTTCCAGGTAAAGCCCGTTGATCTATTAGCTTTCTTTTCCGAAGCGGTCTGACCACAAATGATAGCTCAACGAAGTGGCTTATCACGTGGACATTTATAGCAGCAAAATAATCAAAAGAATCTGGACTCACGTTTCAAAATGTGGAGGAAAAGACCGGAGGACACGGATACAAAATCCACGCGACCAAAGGGACAGAGACGCACAAACTCAAAATATACAGCAGCAGGCGTCAGGGTCGGGATCAGGCGAGGAAGATGACATCTCGCCACCGTGGTGCCCCTTAAATGAATAATATATATTGCATTCTCGTGCGTGATGGCAGCAGCAATATGTTTAGAAGCTAGATGCCAATGTTGAGGTCTGCTGCTCGTCACGACAAGAGGGCTTCGGGAGACAGAGTTCGTGTAGCTTTGATGTTTCATCCGTTGAAGGAGCTGATTCTGATATTCCGTCCACTCTTGTGCTGTTGTTTTTCCCCATGTATGTACATATGTTGAACTTCTTTCGCACCGTACATAGCCAACCGTGCGCACGGGAGGGAATGACAACAAACTGAACACAAAAATCAGTTCTAAAGAAACGACTTTCAATCGAGATGATTTTAAAGTGCATAGCTCCAGTGGCTTCCTAATATCAGAAAGGAAGGAGCGTTCCAGACGACCGCAGAAGCGCATCTGAAAGTGCGCGGATGCGGTGACTGCCGTCTTTGTGCGATGGCCAGCCAGGTAGCTCGTGAACCTCTTGAGCTATTTGGGAGCGATAATTGTTTTTTTACCCTTTTATCTGGAAACAAAACTGACACCTTTTTCACAAGGAGTCATGTTTGCATAGACCACAATACCTGCAGTCATAATGCAAACAAAAAACATAACTCTGATAATGCATGTACTGTCCTTGAAGTTGATTGGTCCACACCCGAGACAGCTTTCCTTAGAGCCTAGTCTCACATGGGTTGGACCAGATGACGCCAAAAGGCGCACAACATTGTTTGCATAAAAGGCGCACAACATTGTTGTGCAAACATGACTCCTTGTAAAAAAGGTGTCAGTTTTGTTGCCAGATAAAAAGGTAAAAAAACAATTATCATATTTTTTACTGGCAAATGAGGCTCCAATGGTCTACTTGGGAGCGTTGCACCTTTGGCTCGCTTCACCCAATGTGCTCCACGCGGTGCGCATTGCATCCTCGCTCGCACGCACATTTTCCCTTGCGGCGTTCAGTTGGTGCTCACGGTGTTTTAAATTAAATTATAATCATTACAATAGCAGCCCGGTTGGGCACTGGAATCGTGTCCCGGATAGTATGAGAACCATTCATGATATTTAAGTTAACATTTTTTTTTATTGTATATATGTTGTTTTTTCTGAAATACCGCGGGAGCGAGATGTTAACTACCTCATCTAGTATACAGGAGATCGTGGGTTAGATCCCGACCCTGATGCCTGAATATTTGGAGTCTCTCTTCCCGTGGTCGCGTGGATTTTTCTCCAGTTTTTCTCTCCACATGTAGAATCAACGTCACGCGTTCAGAGTATTTGGCTGCTATAAATTTCCACACGATAAGCCACTTTGTTGAGCTACCATTTGTGGCCAGGTCACTTCTGGAAAAGGCCTATGAAGCCCAGTGGCCTTACCTGGTAAAATAAAATATAGTTGATAGTTTTTATTGCTTGTTTCAATGTTGAATCAAGAAAGACGTATTCTGTGCTGCTCTCCAGTCGCCTGGGTGAAAAGTGGGGCGATACGTTTTGCCCAATCCTAGCCGTGCTGGCTCTACAAACTTAACACACATTCCTGCGGAGGGAGCTGGTAGGAACGTTGGGTTGCTCGGTCAATGGCCACGGTCAACGGCGGCGTGGTGTATTCCGCAAATATGCCCGACTGTGAGGGCGGGTGCAAGCCGGCGTAAGTAGGTTAAACGTTGAGTTTTATAAGGGCACCACGGGGTGACCAGCCCCTCCCCACCCAGCCCCACCCCTCCCACCCCACACCCAGCCCCACCCTCCCCACCCAGCCCCTCCCCACCCTCCCCACCCAGCCCCTCCCTCCCCCACCCAGCCCCTCTCTGCACAACGGACGGACGGACACAATAATCCCCTGTGGGTTGGTGTAACCAGGAGGTTCCTACCAGTACGAACCAACTAAGTGAATGCACTTCGTGTGTTGAATAACGAGCGATGCCGTGCGGCTTGGCGTGGCCTCGGCATCGCCACGGTGACGCGCGGAGAGACGGGCCCTGAGTGGCGGCTCTGATAATTACCCCGGGCCGAGCGCGCAGATGGTGGCTGGCTGCATTACCACTGTCAAGATGAGACGCCCTCTCGCTCGTTCGCTCAGACAAAGCATTGTAGCAATAGCAGCGGTCCGGGTGGTTTTGACCAAAATGTGCCTCTTCAATCAACGGCGGTCACCTAGGCTACACAAACAGTAGAAGAAAGTGCAGTGTTTTTTGTAAAGATGTTGATTTTGTAACGATGTTTATTTTGGGGTGGGGAGATGTTAACTGCTTTGTGTGGTATACAGGAGGTCGTGGGTTCGATCCCGACCCCGACGCTTGTTGTATATTTAAGTTTGCGTGTCTCTCTCTTTCAAATTCGTGAAGCGTTCTCTCCCGGTGGCCGTGTTGATTTTTCTCCGGGTCCTTCGGTGTTTCCCTCGACATTTCGAATCAACATCACGCGTTTAGAGTATTTGGCTGCTATAAATTTCCGCATGATGATAAGCCACTTCGTTGAGCTATCATTTGTGACCAGGTCGTTTCTGAAAAAAAGCTGTATAGCTCAGTGGGCGTTGGTAAAATAAAACATAGACATAGTTTAGTGTAACTTTATTTGGCGATACTGCTGTTGGCAGTGGTGTATAGCCACCACACACAAAAAAAACACTCAACGCCTTCATCGATGTATGCTCTGTGTGTGTGGCCTTAAAAGGATAAATATATCAGGTGTCATACCGGGCAATGGGCCTTGTTCATAGGACATGAAATGGTCTGCAGGCATCTCTAATGATGATGATGACTATTATGGCGGTGGTGGTGTTGTAATGATGAGATTGATTCTAGATTTGAAGTTTTCGTGACTGCAAGGATCCATAGGCTTAACTTAGCTTTCTTATCTACTTCCACCCCCTGCATCACAAAGCTT